TGGCTCTCATGTTGGCCTGATACCAGCTGCAAATTCATAGCAGCCCCAGATTTACGTGACTTTCTTCTAGAAAGGAGATTATTACCCAGCCCCATGGAAAAGTAAGAGCGTTCCCACTGGAAACTGTTCTTAGTTTATAAACCTCACTCGCGGGCAGACTCAAACTGGTTGGCAAATCATAGCTCCTTAGAATTTGAGCCTTTCTTTGGGCATCCTTTGTAAGCTGCCTGAACATGGGAAAAGTGGCATGTCACCCTAGATGTCGATGAATGTTAAGGGTGGCACCAAAAAACCCTTCCCACTTGACTCAGATGCCTCTAGTCAGTTCAGCAGCACTGCCCAGAAGACTGGATTCAACTAAGAGAAGAACAAGTCTAAAAATTATAAAATCTCAGTCTTACTCCCGATAAGCAATACATGTGTGGCTGGCTGGCCCTAAGCCAGTTCATGTGAAAAGTACAACCTTAAATTTAAAAATAAATCATTTCAATAGTGAGCCAGATCCCTTGCCCAGCCAGGGCTCCATCAGTGAAAGGACCGGCGCAGCCAAGGCTGGGTACTATTTCAGGAAGCAACGAGATTTGAAGAAACAGACATTTTTTTTCCCTCTAACCCTCACCCCTGGGAAAAGCTCAAAAATTTCCAGCCACCAGGCATATGACCAGATGCCCCACAGAGAGGCCTGGTGGGAATTCACATGGACCAGACCCAGGGAATGGCTGAGAATATTTCTTCCCTCTCTCCAACCTTTTCTTTTAAGGGAATGACTAGATATCCCCAAAAGACCGCTTGAGATAGAGGGAAACAAAAGGTTAAGAAAGTGCTCCTTTAAAGGAACATCTGCTTCTTCACCCTAGAGTGCAGAAACGTGAGAAGAAAGGGTCTGGAAATCCTACACTCAACTGGAAAGAGAGCAAACCTTTATCTTCCTTGCTAAATAAAAACTACTGAGAAATCATGAAACCAAGCCTAGGTCAGGTATCCAGGGTTTGATAAAAATGGGGACGTACTTGGAAAAAAATCATGTAGTGAGACCAAATGAAAAGTAAAATTTTCTTTTGCTTTTGTTTCCTTTTATTTTACTTTTATGAAAAATTATTCAAGAATAATTGCAAATGAGAAGTACAATCATAAAGGTACCCTCTGGTGTTTCCATAGCCAGGAAAGAAATAATATAATACTGTAGAGGGACCTGGCTTTGATTCCTGCCGTCCCCCATCTCATTATATGGCCCCAGGCGAGTCATTCAACCTTCCCAATCCTCAGACTGCTCATGTGTAAAATGGGTTGACCTTTGAATTAGAGGAACTTTAGAAATAATCTGAGAACCCTTGATTTATGTATTCAGGGTTGGAGGTAGAGACTGTTTGATATGAATGGAACTTGAAGTCCAGATAGAATCCAAGCAAGCCCAGGGAGGGAGAAACTGCTTTCAAAAGAACATTAAGACCTTGCTCATATGTATAAATGTCACGGAGTTGGCCAAAATAGATTTAGAGCTGGTAAGCCCTTTAGAGATTTCCTACAATCCCCATGTTTTATAGGGGAAAAAACTGAGCCTAGAGAAGCTGAAGTGACTTACAAAAGATCACCCAACACACATCAGTGTCAAGGTAAAAATTCGGGTGTCTGTTCTGGGAGAGACTGTGTGAGCCAGGGAAAGCCAGGCCAGACTTTAGAAAAAATTGCCACTACTTACAGAAAGTTTACCCCAGGCCATTTAACCCCCACAACCCTGAATGATGGATGATATTGCCAGGGCCAGCTTCATGGGCAGGAGACCTGTGTAGACAGGGAGAGACCCCATTTGGAAGGGCCCCATGTCTGGTTTAATGTTCCATGGCCACTATCTTGAAATCCTTAATTTTTAAACAAGGAGTCCCCCATTTTTGCACTGAGCCCCACAAATTATGCAGTTGATCTTAACTATCTCCATTTTATAGATGTGTCAAAGGAGGCTTGAAGAAATTAAATTGCTTGTACTTGGTCCCAGCCACTCACCAAGATGGAGTTACACACACACAGAGCCAGTGGCAGGGTGAAAGTAGAGCAGACATGCTACTGACTTAACAGAGTGCTATGATTTCAGAGCTGCTTTGGGATTTCCCCTCTGATGGCCTTGGGTCATTGGCTCTGGGTCAAGTGACCAAGTAGGGTGATCAGCTGGGAACTATAAGGAATCCTGGCAATCCCTTGGGAAAGTCCCCAGCAAACTGGAGTGAATTGGTTACCCCACTGCTAAGTCAAGGGTATGGGGCTCCCAAGGATACTCAGCCATGTCCTGGGCTTAGTGGGTTGAATATAGGTCCCCAGAGGCCAAGCTGGAGACCTTGACCCAGGCAGAGGGTGGGTGAGCAGCCAACTGGCTGTCATTGCAAGGCTGGGGACCAAGCAAGTGAGGTCAGAGGGATCAGTTGGCTTGGGAGCAGACAGGCTGAAGGCCACATTCAGAGAGACCCAAGCCAGTCTGGAGATGGTATGGGTGCAGACAGCCAAGAGCAGAAGGCAACAGGCCAGAGCAGAGCCCTGGCATGTGGGCTCAAGGGGCCTTCAGCTTAGTCTGTGACCAAGCAAGCCACTTTACTGAGCCTAAATTTCCTCGTTTGAAAAATAAGGGAAGCAATACTAATCACAGGCGGTTATTGATAAGAGAGATCATATATACATAATGCAAAGTTCAGTAGGGCCACAATGAAGGTTTTGTGTTTATTTAATTCCTTAAATATTTATAGAACCCTGTTATAAGCCAGGCTCTGTGGGACACAGAGAAATACCTCCTGCCCTTGTGGGACTACCTGATAGTGTGCTAATAAATGTTTAACAACCAGCTATTTGGAGAAAAAGTAAAAACAGCTTTGTGGCATATGCCAGTTTCCATGGTGTAAATACTCCCCCCATGACTGATGTCAATCTACCAATGTGAGGTCACTGAATACACAGTCGGAAAGAATTGTGCATAATCTGCTCTACTATACCAGCCAATCACTGAGCTAACCCTCTATTAGAAAGAACAAACTATGGGCCTCCCTGAGGAAGTGAGATTGCCACTGTGGCTTGAAGGATGCAGAGACATAAGCAGAGTAGGGAAACAGCATGTGTGCAGGCCAGGAGGAAAGAGAAGAAGAATAGAGCAAAGCATGTCTGAGAAATGCCTAGAGCAGGGAAATATGGGACTGTGGAGGAGCGGAGACCAGAGAGTACAGGAAATGAGTTTGCCATGTTCCACAGTTGGGTTTTATGCTGAGGAAGCCATGAGCAGAATGCTTATAGTTCAGAAACATCACTCTGGCTGAAGTGTAGGGAATGTATTGAGGCTCAAGAGGGTAAGCAGGGAGATCAGGCCATGGCAGTATCCCATGCAGAAGATGCCAGCGACCTGGGCCAGGTTTTATATAAAACAAGAATTTATTGAGCATGTGCCATGTACCTATCACTGTGCTAGGCCCTGGTGATTCATCAAAAATCCTTCATGTAGCTTATAGGCAAGTAATGTTTTTAAAGGTATAATAAACTCTCGAGGGTGTGCAAGGCACAGTACTTAACACCATGCATCACTATCTCATTTAACTCTCACTTCTAGGGGTTATGTTCAAGTGTTACCCTTCTTTGAGATAGCAGGCAGGTTCACGGTACAGGCAGATGGAGTCTGTACTGGATTTCAGCTACTACCTGTGAGACGAGCCCATGGCAGCTGGAAGGTATATGGGCGCTGGAATCAGGAGGCGGCCAGGTTCTCTGGGGAGCCCTCAACCTTCTGCCAGCAAGCTCCAGCACAGCCTCCCTGACAGTGCTTCCTTAGGAGCATTAGAATCTCATCAGTCCAGGAAGATGACTAGATGGTACAATGAGGAGAATAATGTCCATATTTTTCAGAGTCTCACATTTTAGAATTTTTTAAAGAATTCCATTTTTATAATTTTCCAGGCCATGTACAAGAGGAAAAAAATAAGTGTTCACAACAATCTGATAAAATTGCCAATTAGAATATACCACAAAAGGAGGAGGTTTTGTTAGACTAGTTTGTCCATTCTCAAATAAATATAAATCTGACAAATAGCAAGGAGTCTTCTCTACTGCTTGACAGCTGAGAAATTGAGAACACAGTTGTGTGACTCAAGCCATGGTTTCAGTGGGCCACTTCTTCTCAGAGAGACACTTCTTGTTAGCTTTGATCAGGGGCTTTAAATAGAATTGACCTTCATTAACCAGATCTAATTTGCCAAAAGATTTCCTTGAGACCATTTCACATGTTGGTATATATATTTTCATAGGAAGAGAAAGCCTAGAAAGAGGCAGCCTATCAACTCATTTCCCTATAGTATCTGTCAATGTCATCTTCAGGACTTTAAGATCCGACAGAACAAGTTCAAGGCCTCAAGTCCTGGTTTCTACCACTTCTGAGCTGTGTGACTCTGCGAAATTTACTTAACCCTGTCACAGAATCACAATCACTTTGTTTGGCGGATGGTAGCAAGAGATATTCTTGACAACCGTATAAAGTGGACAAAACCATTTTACAGCTGAGAAATAGAGATGTTGAGAAGAGGGAACAGGGGTCACCTGCTAGAACATGAGAAGAATGCCTAATGGGGCTTCCCAAACAGTCACCCTTTCCCATCCTACCTCAATGTCCCACATCAGTTGGCATTCAGGATTCTTGAGCAGACATAAAAGCTGTGATTTTTGCCTTAGTCACCAGCAGGGGGAGCTAGACCGCCGAAGGGGGCAGAGTTGAGACCTAGGGGTGGGCGTGCTCTTCCCCTGACCTTGCAGGTAAACTGTCAACCCCCCTTGCAAAGATCTGTGTGTTAAAAATAAGGCATTTAATACCACATGACTGGAATTGTAACAGGAATACTCTAGCAGGAACGAGAAGATGTTAAACCAGCCTTTTAAAAAATTAAAAGGAGATGGATTTTGAATGCCTGAGGGAATATTTTGGGAAGAGTTGTTATTATTCACATTATCTTTGTTGAGAGACACTTCAAAGAGACTCAGCCTTATCAGCAGTGATAATTTATTGGCTTCTCTGAAGATAGATGTTGGGTGTCTCGTTTATGAGCCAGCCTTGGCTGGACTTTTTACCAAGTTCTCAACCCAAGGCCCCAATGCTGCCAAGATGAAGCCCTGTCTAAACAAGGCGTAAACACACCCCTCAAGTGCCTCTCTTGTAAAACTCCAAACGATTAAGAGGCTTTGGGTTCCTCTCAGTTTCATGTCTCAGACCTAAGATGTGTTCCACCTGTTAACTCGAGTGTTTGTTGCTGCTGAAATCAAACATGGCGTCCCCTGGGCACAGCCATTAAGGTGGTGTTTCGTAGATGGCTCAGCCAGCCATGATTAGATCAGTCCATAGTTGAGATGAAACATTTCTCTCTCCATCTCTTCTCCTTGAGGCCATCTCTCTAGTAGTAACCTCACCTATGTATGAAAGGCAGGAAAAGGAGAAAAAACACTGAAGAAATTTCATTCTGTTACTATGAGCAGACTTGGTTATAAAGTTATGTGAAAGGAACAGATCAAACCATCAAATATAACTTGACTTACAAGTCCCCACTCCAGGGGGCGACTGAGAATTGACTGTAGGTGCCATCTTCCTGCAAAGGTCTGCAAGATCTCTTCCTTTCCTTCCCCATTCAGCTGACACGTGCTATAAATGTCTTCAGGAAATCAATAAATGCCCAGGGAAGCATTTTGGTTTAGCTTTCTAAAAACTAACCTGGGATGAATAAAATTCTGTTAAAAAATAGGGAAAACAAATTTTTAAATCACTGTGTTAGGGGACCAAGGGCAATAACTATGCTACTATAAATCTAAGCCCTTTTTTGGCTTTTGAGGGTGGTGAAATGGGCCCAGCAAGCACTGCAAGGGAAATCTCATGGAGGCCATGCAGGTGTGGGTGGAGAGACCCAGGATTAGCATGACAAAACAGATTGGTCCCCTCATTGTCTGACACAGGACCCTCCTCTACAACTGCCTCTTTGAGCCTTAGCTTTCCAAAGCAATCCTTCTCAAAGGCAAGTCTCACTGTCTTGGCCCTGGCTTAAAAACTGGTCCTTCCTACCTACTCTTACCTCAACCCTACCACTTGATCCCTTCTCAATGCCCTCATACAAAAACACTCCAGAAATATCGACTGCCATACTGTTCCACATCTCTGCCTCCCCCCAAAAAAGAAAAAAAAAAAACCTGGAACAGAGAAAACACTTGCTCATCTTTGGAAAGTCAGTTCAGCTACCACTTTCTACTAGAAACTTTCCCTGAACACGCGTCTACATTCCCCACCCCAGCACACACACACAGCTGCTGCTTTGAGTTTCTGACTGCGTGTCTTGTTTTCACTCACCTGTGCCTTTCTCTAACTCATCTGCCCAGGATCTAGATGGGCCCCTTGTTCCAATTTGCACAAAGGCTGTGGATAGGCTGGCAGCGGCTCTGGAACAGCAAGGGTCTGTGGGGACAGGAAGGCGCCCCTGGAGCCCTCGTGTCACGCTGGAAGTCGGGAAGGGAAATGCCTGGAGAGCCAGTTGTGCCTCTGCGGGGGAAGGGCAGGATGTGGCGGGCGGGAAAGGGAGGCAGGGAAGGCTGCCAAGGAGTTGTCTGTGGTATTAAGTGGACGTCTGGGGCTTAACTGAGATGGATTTGTAATGTGGGAGGAACTCCACTTTCTTGTGCAGGATAACTGAGAACAAGGGGGATTATGCAATTTGAAAACATCCAGTTCCAGAAAACGTGATGATTCCTGACAGTGACCCACTTCGCTTGCACTGTTTGGCTTCTCCCTCCAGTTCTGCCTGTCTCCGGCCTGAGTCACTCCCCATGAAACAGTTGCTCTGTCCTCATCTTCTGCCCTTCCTCACTCCCTCATCTCTTCCTCTCCTGTCATTTTTCACCTTCTCTCCCCATTTCAGGGGCCCACGCATCCTCCCCACTCCACACACACCTCCCTCCCAACTCCCTGCATCTCCTTTCTTGGGTTTTTCAACCCTCTCAACACCTACTTTTCTCCTGTTTTCTGGCATCTTTGGGCTCTACTGTGCTACCTGATTTTACATCTTTTTGCCACTTTGTTCAACAAGCATTGCTTAAGCACCTACTACGTTCTAGGCAATGTGCCAAGTGCTAGTGAAACAAAGATGTGGGCCATCATCCTGGAAGGTGGGCTGACAGCCTTCATCATTCCTCCTCTCTCCAGCCCTGCTCCCACCCCCACACGGCTTTACAGCTCAGGGTAACTGGTTCCTCCTGCACTCCGTCAGTATCCAGAGTTTCCAGGGGCTCCCATCCAGCTGTGCCAATGGTGAGAGGGTCACAACACTGTTCCTGGAGCCCCTGGCAGGGGACAGGGGGCCAGGTAGGAAACTGATGTTTCCACCCCTTGAAAGTCAGGAGGATGCAGTCCCCACCTTGCCCTGGCCATTCAGCAATGCCGCCCTCCCCAGCCCTCTTCCTAGGGTGTAAGGGAGGATGAGATGAGACCATCAGGACTCTGAACCTTTTTATTCCCACTCTACAGCTCTGTGAGGATTGTCTTTTTCTGATTTTATAAAAACACCTCCACCTATATTATGAGTGGCTTGAAAATTAACAGGTGACTTGTGTTTTGCAGACCAGAAAGAAACCTTTCCAGCTTTGGGTGACTTTAGGAAGGTGTTTGGAAAGAGATTAACTAAAATACATCAAGGGAAAGCTGCAACTCCAGGATTGTGGTTCTCAAGTGTTGGTGGGTACCCAGAAACACCAGGGGAACTTGCAGAAACATAAGGTCTAGGCCCTACACTGCTTCAATGGCCTGAGTCTCAGTGGCTCTGCTAGCTCCTTAGTGATCCTGGTGGTTTAAGCACCACTGCTCTAGAATACCACCTCCATCCCCAAGGCCAGGCTTCTTGCCACAGCTTTTAAAAAATCATTTCCACCCTCTTACTGATTTCTCTGCATCTCTGGAGTATGTTAAGCCTAAATTGTGTGAATAAAAGAGAAAGCAATTGGTACCATTAAAAGAGGGAAAGAGATAGTTTAAATGTGTGCAGTTTTCAAGACTCAAAAAGTACGTATTTTGTACAAATGTCGAAATTTAGTCAGCAAATCGGAATAATTTGGGAGACGTGAAGCATGAGTGTTTTTGAAGCTGCATCTGACCATACACGAGTCCTGTGGGCACTTTGTAGGATGAGCCTAGTTTTGCAAATGAGAAAATACAGAAATATAAACATGAAAAGATTTGTCAAGGTCACACTGAAGGTGGTGGTGTAGGGGATTAGGGGCTGAATGCTCTTTCTCTTGGGCCTATTTCTGAGCTACTGGACAATACAGTTTCCTGAAGGCAGATGTGAAACATGTTTTTGCCTTTAAAATAAAGGTTTACAAAGTTCTTATTCTGGCCATATTTCAGTGCAAATCTCCTAGGGAAAAGGGGGTCTAGCTGAAGGGAAATTAATTACTTCCAGCTCTGGGAACACGAATCAATTCAACTTCTCCTGGTGCCTTACTCTAAAGAGTGCTTTAGACTTTAGAGAGTGGTTCTCCTAAGTGCTGCCAAGGAACTTATAAAAACCCCTGTTGCTTAGGCCTCACCCTGGACCAATCAGAATCTCTGGAGGTGAGACACAAGCATCATTAGTTTTTAAAACTCCAATATGCAGCCAACTTTGAGAACCAGTACTGTAGCGCAGTGGTACTCAAACTGTATACACATTGGAATCACTTGGGGAGCTGCCACTGTGAACTAATGTAATTATAATCTCTGGATTATGATCACAAGCATCAGAGTAGAGCCTGAGGTTATTAAAAGATTCCCCCAAATGACTCCATTGTGCAACCAAATTCAAGAGCCACTGCTGCAGAGCCTTGCTGGTCGAACAGTGGGAGCTCTGTGGATTAGGTGTGGGGCTATTATTACCTGAGAACTGCACAGAAAGGCAGAATCTCAGGCACCATTCCAGACCTACAGAATCAGAATCTGCATTTTAACAAGATCCCCAGGTGATTTGAATACATTAAAGATTGAGATGCACTCTCTTAGAGCACTCTCCAAAAACAAGCTCTTATATTTCCAAACACTGAAGAGATTTATCATCTTCTTCCAGTTAGGTACAGGATAGGCACAAGAGCGAATCACAGAATTCTAGAAATGGACATAACAATGTGCATGCCAAACACTCTACATGCATTTACTCATTGATGTTCACCATAACCTTAGGATATAGGTACAAGCACTGTTTCCATTTCACAGATGACCGAGGTGAACAGCTAGAAGCCCACCCAGATAGGCAGAGTGAGGATTTACTCAAAGGTTTCCAGGACTTGAAAGCGTGTCCTTTTAGCCACTCAGATTTTCCCCACCTGTGCACCAAACATTCCTAGTGAGTTACAGATGTGCCAAGACATTGATTCCTGTCAGTCCTCCATCAGTCTAATAAGGCCTGGGTGGCCACCCACTATAGAAAAACGATTAGGGAGCTCTGCTCTAACTTATTTTTCCAAATCATACTTCTGGCCCATTGATGGACAAAAGAGCAGCTGTGTCTCCTAAAGTTACCCAGATCCTTAAAGCCAGGTTAGGCCTAGAACCCAGGAGTCGCAGCTGCCTGCTCCCACTGAGCAGTGGTTCTCCCCTACCCAGAAGCCTGGGATCATCTGGAAATTTACAAGAAATGCAAATTTGTAGATCCCTCTAGAAAGGTTTTTTAACAATCCCTCCAGATGAATCTGAAGTGGACTAGTTTGAAAACCAGCCCACTAGGGCAGACAGCCCCAGGGACTGTGCCAGTGTGCTTGCTCAGAGCGCCTGTGCTCCAGACCCTGCTATAGGCTGGAGCTTCTCTGCAAACAAAAGTTTAAGGGGCTTAGCTTGAATTAAGCTGAAATTTACATGCTGATTTAATCTTCTCAGGGCCTCTTTTACCTCTTTGGAAAGAGCTGTAATGCTCTAGGAAGGAGAAAGTAAATGACTGCTAACAGATAAAATATTAAATGCTCTTTCCATGCTTTTAACCCACTTTCTGCTGGGGTGGTACATACATGGGCATGAGAAAGGAAAACTGACATTTCTTGAGTATCTACTGTATGTCAGGCATACAGTGATATAGACGCACACACCTTGTCACCCACCATCACATTTAAATACAGTGGTCCCTGTCTGAGAAATGAGGAAACTGAGACTGAGGGAAATGAAGTGACTTGCATAAGATCACAAAGTGGTAATGGTGGCCCCAGAATTTGTTCCATAGCCTATGCTCATATGTGCCTTGCCCTCCAGCAAGAAAGGTAAAGCATATAAGATACACTATCTGGAATGGTTGCATTTCAGAAATCCCAGAGCAAGCTCCCATAACTGATCTGCCTACTCAAAGCCCCAGGGATGCCTAACTCAATAATCTTTTCCTGTGTCTTTGGGGAAGGTGCTATGCTGATGTATTCTTGCTGCACTATGGAAGCTACTCTCAAAGCATAAGAATAGACCAGCCATGAAAAGGTAAATAGTTCAGCTATGTTTGAGCATCATGAAATACTTAGAAATCTATTCCTAACTGATAGCATCTGTTCCAAGGGAGGTCTAGAATTGCCAATGCTCAGCTGAGCAGCCTTGAGCTTTGCTTTTTCAAAAGACCAGGGAATCTCTTTGCTACACCTTGAACTTGGGAAATCTCAAGAGAAAGAAACATACTAAGTTCCCTACATTCCCAGTAAGAGATTGTGTTCATGCCACTAAATGCATCAAGGCTCTGGGCTAACAAGAAGAACAAAAAGGGCTCTGGCTCAATCATATAAAGACCTGAACACCTGGTTGAGGATCTATATGGCTTCCTTCCCTCTCTGTCCACCCCAGCACAAACTCTAAACACCCTAATCACTCTAATCACTGTGTTCATACTCAGGATAAATACATAGTAGCTAACCTAATCATGAAGATGAGGGAAGCCCTTCCATCCTTGGGCCAAATGGTTATGGAACTCAATGGGCAAAACAATTTTGTTTTAGCATTTTTTTTATTCATTCATGCTGGGAAAAAGCCATTCTCTTCTGAGTAATGTTTTTTGAGCTTTATACTTTTGATAAAATGCAGGTCAGTTATTTCATAGGGGCCTCCTCCATAGGTGTTTCTTTCCCTCTTGTGTGAGGTTAAGTCAGGCCTGACATTCCTTGCAAGCCTGCATCCAGCTCCAGGGTTACCATTTCCTTCCTTGTCACTACTGGAATTCCAGGTTCTACTCCTGCTCTTAAGAATGAACTCAGTGAAGTTACAGATACAAAATCAACATACAAAAATCAGTTGTGTTTCTATATGTTAGCAAAAACCAAGAAGGTGAAAGATTTGTACACTGAAAACTACAAAACACAAGAGGAAATTACAGACAACACAAATAAATGGGAAGACATCCCATGTCCATGAATTAGAAGACTTAATTTTGCTAAAATATTCATACTACCCAAAATGATCTATAGATTCAATGCAATCCCTATTAAAATTCCAATGACATTTTTCTTTAGAAATGAAAACCAATCCCAAAATTCATATGGGACCACAAAAGCCCAAGAATAACCAAGAAAATCTTAAGAAAATAACTAGAGGTATCACATTTCCCAATTTCAAAATACACTATAAAGTTAGAGTAATGAAAACAATATGGTGCTGGCATAAAATAGATATATAGACCAGAATAGAGAGCTTCTGGTCCATGGATCAGTATGTCCAATGCAATAAACCCTTACATGTGCAGTCAACAGATTTTTGACATAGGTGGTAACAGACACACTGTCAGAAAAGAATAGTCTCCAACAAATAGTGCTGGGAAAACTGGATATCCAGATGTTTAAAGAAAAAGAGCTTGGACCCTTATCTTATACCATACACAAAAATTAACTCAAAATATATTAAAAACAAGAATGTCAGACTTGACTGTAAACCCCTAGAAGAAAATATAGAGGGATATTTTCAGGACATTTGTCTAGGCAATGATTTCTTGGATATAACACCAAAAGCACAAGCAACAAAAGCAAAAATAGACAAGTGGGAGTATAGCACACTAAAAAGCTTCTGCACAGGAAACAATCAACAGAGTGAAAAGGCAGCCTGTGGAATGGGAGAAAATATATTTTCAAACCAAATATCTGATAAAATAAGGTGCTAATATCCAAAACATACAAGGAACTCCTACAACTCAAAAAAACACTGATTTTAAAATGGGCAAAGGACTTAAGTAAATGTTTCTCCAAAGATGACATACAAATGGCCAACAGGTATATAAAAAAAGATATTCAACATCACTAATAATCATGAAAATGCAAATCAAAAGCACAATGAGATATTACCTCACACCAATTAGGATAATCTCTTTTTAATAAGAGTTAAGTGTTGAGGATGTGGAAAACTTAGAACCCTTGTACAATGTTAGTGGGAATATAAAATGGTGCAGCTGCTATAGAAAACAGTATAGAGGGTCCTCAGAAAATTCAAAATAGAACTACCATATGATCCAGCAACCTCACTTTTGAGTATATATCAAAAAGGATTGAAAGCAGGCTCTCCAAAAGATATTTGCACACCCATGTTCACTATTCACAGCACTATTCACAGTAGCCAAGATGTGGAACCAAACTAAGTGTCCATGGATGGATGAATAAAGAAAATATGGTATATACACACAATAGCGTATTATTTGGCCTTTATAAAGAAGGAAATCTTTAGCTGGGCATGGTGGCACACGTTTGTAGTCCTAGCTACTCGGGAGGCTGAGGCAGGAGAATTGTTTCAGCTCAGGAGTTTGAGGTTGCAGTGAGCTGTAATGCCACCACTGCACTCTAGCCCCAAGGGCAGAGCCCCTGTCCCAAAAAGAAAAAAAGGAAATCAGAACATTATATGAAGTATTTAAAATGTCAAACTCATAGCAAAAGAGTAGAATGATGGTTTTCAGGGGTTGGGGGAGAGGAAATGGGAAATTGCTGTTCAATTAGTATTCAGTTATCTCCTTAGATGAATAAGTTCTAGGAGATCTGCTGTGTACAACACTGCATCTACAGTTAATACTGTTATTGTGCACTTAAAATTTTAAGAGTTCTTACCACAATAAAGTAGATATTCAGCTCTGATGGGAAATGCCACATTATTAAATAATGATAGCAGGCCCTTGAATCAGGAGTGATAACAGAAAGATCCACACACGATACCAGAAAGTGTGGGAGCCTCTGCACATGTCTGCTCACTTGCTCCATTTTGTATTATGAAAAGATGCTGCTGTGTAATTACAGGAATGTTGGAAATGGCCTGAAAGCACAATAAAAAGTCACTCAGCCAAGTGAATGAATGAGAAGCAATGAAAGAGGAAGGGGGAATGGTCTAACGAGGGTACAGGTGTTGCAAGGTTAGCCGTGAGGGTGGATCTGAGAGGTCATAGGCTCATTGCCAGTTATGGCATCCTCTGTGGATTGGTGCTAGGGGCAACATTTAAGAAATATTTTATGAACATCTTAGAGGGTCAGTTAACATCTGAATACAATCTCATGAACTGTTTTTTTTTTTTTCTTCTAAATCTTCCCCAAACCATTCATAGCTACCATGTAACAAAAGAAGCTGAAGTTCAGCGTGGTGAATCAGCTAGCCCCAGATCACAGAACTAAGTAGTGGCGTGGTAGGTTCTTGAACGCAAGTCTCTCTTCTCCTAGCTTTTCCTGCTGTCTGTATCAGGAAAGTCACTTCAAGATGCCCATGGAGGCAAGGCAGGCACTGAAAATGAGGGGAGCTTCCAGACTTGGTAAAGAGGGAGAAAAAGAAGGAAAAGCAATTGACATTTGGCTTTAGTGTCAGGGAGACAAGTAGGGATTGATGGGGGGACCACGGCAAAGGGGAGAATTGCAGATGTCTAAAGTGAACCACTAATGCCCAGCACTAACTGTTACGTTTCAGGACAAGCAGATGCACTTGCCAGATCTGACTTGTCAGAAAAACTAGAAGTCAGATTTTTATATAAATTCTCCTTTTTATATTAACATTGGCTAAAAAGAAAAAAAAATCTTAGACAGCAAAACAAAACTTATTTGTAAACCAAATCGGCTTATGGACAGCCAGAGATAACCTTGGCTTTTTCTAAAGCAATATTAACAGATCATTAAAGTTCATCACCTTAATAGATAGGGCCTCTGTGATCTTCTGATTAGCCTTTTCACTTTGCAGATGAAAATTTTATATCATAAATGTTATCTCAAATTATAAATACTAATCCTGTTATTTTAGACAATTCTATTTCTTTACATGGGCCATGTGTAGAAAGAACATGCATGTTGACACACCAAGGCTGGAGTCTCAGTCCTGCTAAGTAGGAGCTGTGTGACCTTTTAAGCAAGTACCTTAACCACTTCATCTGCAAAATGGCAACACTGACCTGTGCACCACAGTGGAGACAACCTCTCATAAGGGCCTCATTTAGATCTTATCATACACAGGCCTGTCAGAGGGGGCTTGGTCAAAGCCCTGGGGGTTGCCACTGCCACCCGCCACCCCTTCGCCCTCCCTTGTCTCTGAATTTCTTTTATTTCATCATTTACACAACCCATTTAGGATCCAGTTGATTTCTTCACACAGCTAATTTAAAATAGAAACTAGAACTTCCAATGTTGTCTGAAGCAGGCTCTTCTACTAGATATCTTTGCTGCCTTGATACACATTTATTAAGGTACCCTGCCTTGTCAAGATTTGAAAATGCATGGTAAGGATTTGAGACACTATAGGTGTTTTGTCAGCTGGAAACAGACAGAAAAACAAGGCTTCTACATCCCTCCACTCCCCTCCTTTCTCATTTGATTTAAATTCAGTGTGTCTTTTGCTGCTGTAAACACCAACAATTATGAGCAAGAGTTTAGCTGTATTTGAGGTTAAATGAATCCCATAGCAATGAAAAACCAATACTGTATTTGGCCACATAGACATTATTAAAGCACCTAGATTAAATGGAACATAAATAATAGTCCATTGATTTTTTTTATCCAACTTTTTGTAATTTAGTTTACAAGAAACAAAATTATTCTCAATGCACAAAGCACTGGGCTGAGAATATTCTGCAACATTTTATATGAATTTTTTCCATCATATCATTGTATCTGTTCATTTTTACAGATGTTTATAAGATTATTTATAAAATTTTTCTCTTTAACTCTGGTTTCTAACTGAATGCATGGTTTTAACAAAAATACCTCCTGCAAGCCTTAGAGGCATTCAAAACTTTTACTTTTGCTAAAAGATGGAATTCTTCAATTTAGTAAATACTGTAGAAATCTCATTTTAAAATCTGATCATGGTGATTAAACCAACTTCTGACTCAGAGACTACGCAATACTGAGTGTCGCATTATTCAAGAATTTCCAATTCCGGGCCAAATAAGACTCAGATAAGCTTCTGTGATTGACAGTAACATACTAAAATTCACAGCTGCCAACCTCAATTTCAGATCATATTCAACAACAGAAAGTGAACTTGCACAATGATACCCAGTCCTCAGGTTTATTCCATTTTGAAGGTCCTCTTTCCCATAAGCACTGAGGACACTGAGAGGAGTTATAGGGAAAATGCCAATGATGCCAATAACAAAACAGCCATAGAATGGTAAACAGTATGAATTAGTCTCCCCTCCCCAGCCACTTCCAAAAGTATCTCTTCATGTCAGCTTTCATGTGAACAAGTATGATCGCAAAGCTAACTTTATGCACATAGTATTGATTTTTGGCAGAGGGAAGCCAAATAATGAAAACTGGAAGAAAAAAAAAAAAAGTAAGAAAGAGGAATACGTGCAGATGCACATATCTGCCAGGCCACTTGTATGCATTGGTTCAGGCAGGGTTTAACAAGTAGGTCACTGAAAGTCAATGAAAACCGGGGCAGCTCCCCTGGCAGGAGACATTAACCTGCAGGAGGAATCTTGCAGACAAGTGATACATTTTAGCTGAGCAGTTGTATATTTTATTTATGAATTGATATAAGCATAGAGATGTATAGGGAGAGGAATGCAATATAATATGCATCCTTAAACACATTCCACAGTAAAGATAGATAGGAAGAGAGATTTATACCCACACACTCCCTAATTTAAAGGAAACCCTTCCCCCAGTAAAAGAGGAATCAGATCTCTAATTACAGCCTTAGTGTAGTCAGTGTCTCTTCCTTTGTCTCCCAGCAGGTGTAGCATTGACCAGGCTCCTGTCTTTATTAAGGCCACCTATGCTGTAGCCAGAGCAACGCTGTCAAGGCACAGAGGGCTCAAGGGACTCATATGCCACTTGACCCAAAGGCACCAGGAT